GAATGTCGACACATACAAAATACGTCGGTGAAAGACCGAATATTTGGTTATATTATTATACATTCGAACAATCGCCGGTGTATGTCGACAATCACAGATAAGCTTTGGTGGAGATCGAAACGACACCGAGAAGCCGATGTCGACAGAGAGGCGACAGTCTGTCGCCAAATTCTTCGCCGTTTCCTTCTGCTCAAATTGGTTATACCGTACGAATACAAGTCCCTGATGTCGACCGTGGCCCTACAGATGCCCAAATGTGTTGGCGGTTGTTGTTGGAATAGAAGACTCCGACTTTTATAAATTAGCACGCAAAAATGGTACCCTCAAGCAGCTTTATACCCGTAATCAGTTCGTAATTTGTAAAGAAAAGTTACTTTCCATAGATGAGATTTCTTCTCAAGAAATATCGCTGAGAGAAGCAGCTGCAGCTAATTCGAAAAGTGGAGAGCAAGGCTATACGCGCCTAGCTGAGGAGGGCAAGGCTATACACGCTTTCCATAGGCTTAGCTGTCAGAGCTGTTAGCTGTAAGATAGCTCATATTTAGCTTATATTCTGTTTGTATGCTGCAACGTGCATCTTTTTCAGTTATTTCTTTCAGTTGTTTTTCTTTGGCGGATGTTTGGCATTAAGTGGATACAGAGAAGAGGAGTCTTTGTCCATTTACACGTAAACCAGCTTTTGGTAAAAATTTTAAATTTATTAACTTGTATTAGTAATTTTGTGTATAGATTTTTTAATAAAAGTGTAGTGCTACACACTCTCCTGTTTATTGACAGGGTATTTTACTTAAAGCATTATAGAGACTCTGGTTAACTGACTGTATTTAATAAGAATTTTGTTGTAGATTGGAAATTACAGCAATAGTAAATTTAAATATTATGTATTAAGTGTTTCACTTTTACTTATGACACAGGCACATAGTCTATGTACTGGAGTTGACAAAAAACAGAGAAATATATTTGTAATGATTATAATAATTGAATGTGCCAAGGTAAAAATAAGGATAAAAATATTAGTATTCAAATAAATTACTTAAGAATTTAGGCTTAAGTAGGCGGGTCGTGTGTTGGCCATGCCTGGTATAGTGTTAAATATTTTTCTTATTAGGAACGTAGAATATATACTGTGAAAAGATCCAGATTAAGCAGAAAAATCTCACACTACATAGACAAATACCTACTAAAACATCTAGTCAAACAATATACAATTTACTATTAAATTATAATTATTTATTTTTTGCAATTAAGATTTGCTCTATAATGTTAATGGCAATTAGAATAGATCCAACCGGTGAGAGTTGGTGTTATTAATTACCATTTGCACTGACATGGAATCCATACTTTGAGTACGTTGCCATTAATATGTTTCCATTCCCCTGTAGTTTGTGGGTTCCTGTAATAGTCAACTGCCAAATAGGCTTTTGTTATGGTGCAGAATGGATACAGGCCTACAATATTTCTGCTTAATGTTTCATATAACTTGTGTGTAAAATTTAACATATTATTCTAAATTCATTTACAATATTTTGAATTCATTAATTTCATTTCAATGCTATAATTATGATTTTAACAGTTGTATAGTACTGTACGCTTATGTTATGGTTATTACATCTCATACACGTGTAAATTTTTTATTGTGATTTTTGACTTGTTATTGACAACCGTTTTGGACGTTGATGGCTAAGTTAGAACATTTTTAGACACGACACGTGAATTGATATGCAGAGGAACTGGACATTGGAAATTTATATCGTTCGATTTTGTTCAAAAATTCTCGTACTCGTTATTTTTAGAATATCCAGCTGATTTACCTGACGAAGAACCCGGAAGGGGTTTTGAAAACGTTTGGATTTATTATTTTTATTTATTACGTACCGATTAAAGGTTCATGTAAGTCAATTTTTTGTTATATATACCTGGTGTGCACTTCGGGAGTTATATTTTGTTTATTATTGTTTTTTATTGGAAATAAAGTGTGTTGATAAACTGCTTACTTTTATTTTCTGTATTTTCCTTTACAAACATTTATACCCAAGAGCATTAAAGCCCTCTTCATACACAGGCCAGTTTTGTAAATAACAAAATTGTTTAATTATACTTGATAAAAAATTATTAGACAAATTGTTGCATGAATGTGCACACAAAGGTAAAAGATATATTTTAAATTGATATCAATATCTTGTAATTAAAATAAGTAACTCTCATAAGTGGGCCTATGCAATATAATATGGCAAATATTTGGCATTAATTGTAACTAACCATTCATCTCCCATTTATGAGAGTTACCTGTATTTTAAATTAGTATTAATATCTATGATTAAAACATTTTTTACTTGTGTGTATGTACACGCATGATGTGCACATGTATATGTGCACGCAACAATTTGTATGGTGATTTTTATCAAGTATAATTAAACAATATAGCCTGATATAATCCAGCAATTATTTGGTGTTAATCTTAAAGATTGGGTTATTCCAGGTTTATATTTGATATCCATAACTGTAAATATATACATTACTTGAAACTGCACACATATTTTCATATTTACGTGGAAAATCACTGTGGGTTTTTCTGTCTGGACTTTTTTTTACGTGAGATTTTCTATGCACAATTTCTGTGTGGGCTTTTTTCATAGGACCGTTTTAAATATGAATGAAATAAAATTTGGTAATCTAAGAAAATACTAATTTATGTATGATATTTTAAAAAATATAGTGACATACGATTTTATATGAATAATACATTTGACTATTAAAAAAAATCAAAAATACCTTTAAAACAAAAAGTTTGACATTTTACTATGGCATTTGATTTAATCATACAAAATTTTTCAATGCAATTAAACTTCTTACGGATCATTATCACTTCAAAGTATTGCTACAGATGAAGTATTTCAAATTGTTAGAAGTGCATTCTACATGACTAGGGATGAGTTGTTACTGTTTATATAAAAATATAATCGAATAAAACTGTTTTGCACAATTGTCTGCAACATCATGATCCCAAAATAATACAATTAAAATATTCAGTGCATTAACTTTAGTTATCCTGCAGTATTATAGTGTGATATAAATTAACTCTTAACTGCTCTTAATTGTTCGTCACTGCCTTACATCACTCGCATTTTCATTTTGGAGAAGACAATCAAAACAACTGTAGTTCGTTATGACGAAAATATCAAACTGTTATAAAAATTTTTTAAATTAATTTTTAATAAAAATTTACAAAGGTGCATTTTAAAAAATTAGTCACAGGTTGCCGTGTTATCGACTGAACGTGAAAAAATTTGAAATACAATCAAGTTTTTAAACTTCTAAAATCAGTGGAATCAATAACATTTTATTCCAAATACAAGTTTCAGAAACATTTTTTGGAATTTTTTTTTGTTATAAAGATATAATGCTACCAATCAAAATAAACATTTGTGATAAAATAAAATTAAACTTCAGCTTCCATAATATGGAAGATATGCTCTTTTCTTTTTGAAATAAATTATGAGACAAAGTCTCTAAATATATTTTCTCCAATCATTTTTTTTTTTCAAATATTTAATTACATTGTGTTGACCTTGAAAAGGGAATATTTTACTCCCATTTTTTTCACTTATTATTTTTTTTCTTTATTAAAATTACATTTAACAAAAGGTCAACTGTCCTCTGATTATATATATATATATTTATATATATATGACTTTTAAAAACATTTTATTGAGAAAAAGNACAAACAACTCAATGCAACCACTGGTGTTAAATGTAAAATGGTTGCAAACAATTTTCATATATTTTTTTTTTCAATGCTCCTAAGATGTTATCTTATTTCAAATGTAAAAAGCACAGTCTATTCTTAATGCCATAGAAGAATTTCCAGCAAAGGTTTTTTTCAGGCGGATACGGTACCTTCGGTAGGAGATTGCTCCACGGCAGAATTCTCTCTGGGAGTTAAAGCAGTCTGAAAAAAATAAAAAAATAAAGAATTCTATTGTTTGATCACATATATAAATAATTTATAATTTTCAACTGTTACTTAGACGATAAAATCATTTAAAAACTATTACACAAAATATCTACAATCTGAAAATTAACTAAATATCTAAAATCATTTCTACCAACTAACCAAAGTACACACTTTTTAATGAAAAATATATTTTGCTCAATTAACAAGTGTATAAACCAAGATATTAATTAAATTAATAAGTATAGAAATAAGCAACTCAAAACTCAGAATGTTTTTGTGTCCCAATGCTAATCTCCTGTAGTGAGACTAATAAGACGAATTAGCACTATCTTTGAATTACTACATACACATACCCAAAACTTAAGGCTAAATGACATTTGTATGTGAATAGAGAAAAGATACATAAAACAATTGCTAGAAAAGATACATAAAACAATTGGACACAGGTGAAGAATGATTAAAAAGTGCTTACCAAGATCCAGGTAGAGAGACCTGTTGATACAGACTGTCTACCTTGAACTGTGATGCAGCACTCTCAATGTCATGGTACGCTTGTTTCCAGCTGTTAGGTAACTTTATCTAGTTATCATCATTAGCAATTGTGTTTATCCTTAAGTTTTGGACACATGCATTAGTTAAATGAGACATACTCTAGATAAGCATTTCTCAAACTATGGTTGCAACCCAATATTGGATAGTGTTAAAATTTTAATGGGTTATAAAATAATACCACCTTCTGCAAAAATACTAGTAATACTTGTTTTACTAAAATATTCTCTAAGAACTAGGAACAATAAATGAATCTGTTAGATACTAAAAATTTTAAAAATCACCATCAAATAGTATATTATTGTTATATAAATTACATTATTGGAAATGTAACATACATTCAGTATGAAATTTTACACTAATATAGATAACTACTGTACTTAAATTTATCAGTTTAATAAATAAAATTAAATCAGAAAATTACCTGCTCAACCAAAGATTTATCAACAGCAGCAGAATCAGGTTCACCACTACCAACTTGTTCATACTGAGACTTTTTTTCTATTTGAGAATACATTGCATTGTCTTGTACCAGTCTGTCAGAATTATCACCAATAGTAGATAGATCCTTTCCTATTTTAGTGGCAGTGTCACTAGGATCTTGAGTTCTTGGACGGGGTGGACCTCTACGAGGACGACGACGTTGAGGTTGTGGTCTAAATGGTGGCCTACGTTTCGGGCCTTGATTTTTTTGGTCATTATCCTCAGTTCCTTCATTTTCCTAAAAAATATATAATTAATCAGTATCATATCAAAGTTTTTTTAAAAATAAAGATTACTTTACACAATGAATTTGGTACACAAATTGCTATAAAAAGGATTTAAGTTTATGAACAATTTATTCTATTAAAAAAAAACGACAGAAAATAAAAACTACAAAGAAATCCATTATTTTTTCAAATATATTGTAATTGCAATTTGTTAAAAATCATTTCATCAGATGGCCAAACATTTTAATTAAGATTAAAATTGAAGATCAAGTCCATTGGAGAACCTTCACCATTTATTCACTTCTACCATCTTGAAACATTTTGATAACTAACCTTTCTTTATAAGATGCTTTGGTCAACAAATTGGTCTTAACTACCATCCAGTTAAAAACATTTTTTATAAAAAAATTTAAAGTATTTTACAAATATTCGTCTCCAAAGGACAGCTAAAAATCTACATATACCAGCACTTACTTCAGTAGATAAAAAGCTCAAGTATAGTCCTAATATACATGAATGGAAAAAAAAATATCTGCATTATTACCAGCTCCAATTTAAATGTTTGTGTTTTTAGTTGAATATTTTTGCATTGCTTTTAAAGGGAATTTTTTAAAATTGTGGCACCAAAAGCAGCCTACAAAGATAGATCTGTTGTCAAAAGTTGTGTTGTGGAATAGTGAAAAAGTGAATAACTGATGACTGTTCTCTGAGAGACTTATTTTAATATTCAATTGCATTTTTGATAACCTCTCCTGAGGTCAAATTTTACTCATTCAGTAATTATTTATATAATTTTGTGGAAAATTAGGTATCTCTTATTTATGCAGGAAACAAAATTACTTATTTCTTTCATAAAAGATCTGAATATAATCACAGGATCTTTTCTATAATATATAAAATTCCTTAATTTTTAATTAAATGACATTTACATTTATATAAAAATAGCAAATGTTCAAAAATAAAGGTATTAAATGTTAAATTTGAAATGCAAATGGCAATTTTATTAATTTCAAAGGCAATGGCAAAATTCACAAACATTTTAAATTCAGAACAATGAATATTTATGTAAGTGATAAATGTAAACAGGCTATTATAATTTATTCAATTTACCTACAACACATTGTTACACAAGTGCAATGAGTACAGTTACACACTTGGTATCATTCATAACTCAACTTTGGGAAAACTGTATAATAAAACTATATCTCATTGCACAATATTTCTTAACAAATACACCTACAACTGCCATTTGCTTAAGATATATAGTATTCAATTATGTGTATCTTAACATTATTCCATTCTGGAAATCTGAAAATAGTCATCCATGAAAGTGTCAAAGACTTCGTCACTAAGTACCAATTCTCTCAAAATGACAACTAAATCATCTTTAAATCAATAAATTAACATCAATTTAGTGAAATTTTTATGTTTGAATACTAATCATCAATGGTACCTCATATCTATGTAACAAATTCTACAATTTATTAAATTGTAATGTACATTTAGTGCAATTATAATAAACTTTTAAAAACATTTTAATGTAATATGGATGCTCTATATTCAAGTTGTACATTATATATATATATATATATGCATATATAGTCACTTTAATCAAAAAAATCTTTTTTGGTTGACAGTCTCATAGCACTTCCAGTTAGAAAATTAAGACTTTGACCAACAAAATATCACAAAATATATATAAAAATATTAACAAACAACATGATGATGATAAAATAAAAACAGATAACCTTAAAAAACTTGGAATGGTTTATGAAATAGAATGTAATTGTAACAATCCAAAAACTTATATCGGCAAAACAGGCCACAAATTAGGAATAAGAATCAACGAACATGAAGCAGCTATCTGTCTTAAATATAATAATTATCTGTGGTACAATCACACAATAAACAATAACTGCCAAATTAATAAAAATAATATAAAAATTTTACATATTGAGAAAAAATATTTACAAAAGAAAATTGAAATATTGAACACATTGAAATAAAAAAAACAACCAAAAAATAATTTAATTAATATTTCAGAGGTCATGACAATCAACCCTCAATGGTACCAGTTAATAGATGATGTTTCAACATGTAGAATATAATAATTGTACAGTTTAAGATATGTTGCATTGTAAAACTCGAGTTTTGTGCATTGTGAGAAATTATTGTTTAGTGAATACAGGTTACCCCCATATAACATGAGAGTTACGTTCCAAAAAATTGTCGTGTTATGCGAATCCATGTTGTACGAAACAAAGAACTAGTGCAAAAAGGAGGGATTAGTTCCAAAAATTAAAAAAGCATGTTAAATTTATTTAAATTGGATTTATTATTCATTTTTTTTCATAGGTAAAATACTTATTATTTAAGTAAATATTTTACCAGAAAATTATTCATCCTATATGATGATCTCAGCATGAGCATCATCAACTGATAACAGTTTCGTTTGTTAATAGCGGTCACTCTGCAACGGGAGTGCACTGCTGTTTGTAGGCATTTAGGAATGATGGTAAAAGAAAGATGGCGGTGCCTGCAATATCAATAGTATCGTGTGGAGGAAGCTATAATTCTAAAATGAGCTTTAAACCCTTTTAGAGGCAAAAGAAGGGTCCTAATTGTAATTGTAAAATTTAACCATTAAATGGATTATTTGTTGAAAGAGCATTCAAAGTAGCCACGAAAACAATTAGAATGCTCGTGTAGAGTTACGCGGAGGTATAAAACAACACACCCTTTATTACATTTTATGTTGTACAAGGGTTTTGCCCAATTTCTAAACTGTGTTAGAGTGAACCCGTGCTATAAAAGCACCATGTTATGCAGGGGGTGTTCCCAATTCTCGAACCGTGTTAGAGTGAATCCGTGCTATAGAAGTGTCGTGTTATATGGGGGTTACCTGTATATGCAAACAGAGAATATCAACTGTAAGTAAAATGTATGTTTCTTCTGTTTAATGGCTTTGAAGTTGTATTATAGTGAAATAATGTAATGTACACTTATACAGTACTTTAATTAAAAAAACTGATGCACAGTTACTTTTATTGTAAAAAAAGGAAAAAGAAAATAGAATAAATAAATACTGGATAAATTTAAAGTAAAGTAAGATTTGAATTTTAGTGAATCTTTCTTTTATGTCATTGTAATTTATATTTTATACAAGATAGTGGGTTTTTTAATGTATATTTATGAAAAATGCAAATGTGAAAATGAAATTTTTATGTCGCTTTTCTACGAAACATGTTTGTTGTAAAAAAATTTTTACAATATATAAGTAATGTCGGGTTGATAATTATACTGTTATTGTTTTTTAACAGCACTGAAGAGGGGTTGTAGATTTACAACAACCTGAAATGCATTTGTAGCCTGCGTTCAATTTGTGCAATAAAGTCTTAATTTTCGAATTGGAAATGCTGCGAGACCATCAACCAAAAAAGAGTTTTTGGATTAAAGTCATATATATATGACTTTTAAAAACATTTTATTGAGAAAAAGAATTTTAACATGCATATATCAATTATAACAACACTGATACCTTATTAATATCACCTTCAACACCACTCTGGCTTCCTTCTGTGTCGCTTCGAGGACGACGTGGCCTACGACGAAAGAAGCGACGGAAAAAGCGTCGGGGTGGACGGCGTCCCATAGAACCTCTCTGAATTCCTTTATCTTCATCATGTGGTTCTTGCAATCCACCCTACACATTATAAAATACTTTATTTTACCATTCACATTTAATATTTATGTTAAGTTTAAGACAGAATTTTTTTATTAGGGGAAAAAATTTGAACAATTTGTAACTGAAACTAAAACATTGGCTCCATAGAAGAAACAGATTTATCTTGTTCTATACTGTTTATAAATCATCTAAAAAAGCATTTGATAATGGACATGCAAAATGCAACATTACAAATGTTGCATTTTGCATGTGCATTATCAAATGCTTTTTTGGGATGCAAGACTAATACTTTCTATACTTAAGTTTTTTTATAAAAATAAGTTGAAAATACATCAGACAAGTCAAATATCATTGGAACTACATTATATATCTTCAATCAATCAATCAAGAATATTCATCTAATACAGTAGAACCTCGAAAACTCGGCCTAATGTGGACCGAAGGGTGGCCGAGTTTGTAAAAATGCCGGGTTATCGGGAATGGGTTTAAAAAAAATAAGTACGAGTGTTTCCTCAGAAAATACTGTACTGTACTTGTATGTATTGTTTACTTGAGAATATAACAGAGAATAAACTGCCCAAATACCCTTAAACAAAGGAAAAGTACGTCCTTTATGAAGCCATAGAGCCTTTACTACATGAAAATGAAAATTAATGAATACACTGTGTACAGTAATTTACCTGATAAGACAGACCTCAGAAAAATACTTTATGAGAGCTTTTATACTTTTATAAAGCTGTCTATAATGAAAATTAATTAACTAAGGATTTTTTTGCCCTGCCAGGGTGTGGTCGAGTTATCCGGAGTGCCGGGTTATCGAGAGCCGAGTTTGAGGTTCTACTGTAATGCATTAAAAAAGCTTAATTCAATATCGTGTATAGTTATATACGATATTGAATTAAGCTTTTTTAAGTAAATGCATTTTGTTTTCTCATCTGACGGTATATTGTCTAAGCAAAAATTGTTACTAAATTATGTCTTACTGATGATAGAAAACCAAAGCATATTTATGGCAAAATACATGATGGAATTTTGCAAAATAAAAAGTAATAGCAGCAATGCACAGATTGTTAAATAGATATTATTCCTGAAACTGACTGATTATTTTTAATAATCAAAATTTTAAAGTAATGATGCTTAAATCAAATTGAATAATGATTTATTTTCCTTCTATTGGTTGATTTCTACAATTTGATAATGATAATGTGTCCAGTAGAAGTTTAGTTTTTGAATCTTTTTCAATGCAAATCCTCATTTTCATGGTAATTAGACAAGGTCTGTAGGAAATACACTGAAACCACAATACTCATGATTTTTGATCATTTGTCCTGAATCCGAAAGACTTGCAAATGTTCAATATACATCATTAAAAGAACAAAACATTATATTATATTATGTAATAATAATAATAACTAACAATAAAAAATATCCAGGAAAACTATGTGCTGCAAAAAAGTTCAATAAAAATTAAAATACAGTAGAGCGTCGATTTTCTGAAAGTCAATCATCCGAAAGAATTCCAGTCGGCAAATTTAAATTTTTGCCAGTGCTGTGGCGCTTCAATCTTTGGCTATGACTTGGGCTACTCAAATATTTTATGTTTTTTATACTAAATTAACATCTGAAGTATAATTTTTTATTATTTTTATATTTTTCAATATACTTATTTTGTTTGTACAAAATAAAAATATAATTTTTAACGATACAATAGTCTTCGTTAGGCTTAACATCGACGAAAATTCAATGCGAAGTGACACGCAACGGAGAAACATTTCAACATCGGATACGTTAAACTATTTTTTTGTACGTAAATCAGTTATCCGAAATATCAGTTATCCGGACAACCCCAGTCCCCAATTGATTCGGAAAATCGACGCTCTACTGTATTTTAAATCTTGTCAATGAATGAAGCTAGGTATTATATTTCCTAATTCTACTATGCCTGTAGGAAACAGGCAAACACTTAAAACAATAGTAAACAAACAAATGTACAAGTGCTCCCCTACTTAGGAACAATTTGACCATGTCTAAAATTTAAATTTTGTGTGAATTCTGAAGTTCTCTCGCCACTTATAGGGTTGTGTTGAAGTCAGTCTTTAGCCAGTAATAAATAATTAATATGGATTTATTTATTTCTACTGTGTATCATCATTTTGCATCTTCATGCAAATACTGCTGTTCCATCACCACTCGTGAGGACACATTGAAGTCGGTAACATTGGAGTAATGGAGTTTTTCTATATTGTTTGCAATTTTTATAAACTTTTATAATCAGTGTTTCAAAAATGCTTCCAAAACAATATTAAATCTAGCAGTGGAGATGAATGCAAGAAGTTTGGCTCTGTTACTGTAGAAACTAAACTTGACATTATAAAATCAAGTCCATTAGGTAAAAAAAAACCATGTTAGAAAACCCAATACTAAGTAGTTGCATTGCAAGCAGATAAAATGAGCGTAATGTATTCTATTATTAAGTACACTGAAAAATCAAATACTAAGAAGTGGTTATTCTCTACAAATGTACTTTCTAGATTAGTTTTTAGATTTTGATTTATGACAAAACCTCAAGAATCTAACCTAACCAGTTTGTTAGTAGTAGAGCACCTGTATGTCTTACGTTTGTCATCCTTTGGGGTTTTCAAAGTCAATGAGTCTCAAAAGTTTTGACCCAATGAAAATCTGAATCTGGATTTAATTTTTTACTAGTGGCAATTTAGTTCTCATCTGTCAGATTAGCATTTGTACAGAATGAATTCTATTAAAGCAACTGTATAGTCTTTTTTTGCCAATTTCAAACTTACAAGAATTTGAAACTGGTCACTAATACTGGAAATAATAAATTGCTGCCTAATATTTAAAAATACATTTGTTTGAATATGATGTTTGTTCTTAATTGAATTCCATCCAGTTTTAAACAATTCCAGTTTTTCTTCATAGTTTTCACTTTAGTATTTATTGTAAACATTTCAATTATTTCCTATTTCCTGTTATACAACTTGACCACTAATCTTCTAGCACTTTTATCCAGACAGATTTATGGGAGGTCACTTAAATTCCACAATTAGCAGACGTAATCACTGAATGCCACAGATAGATAGCATTGCATGTAGCCTGCAATTTTGGCTTGTTTACATTCAAGTTGTTGATGATCCCTTTATCCTAACTTTCAGTTCATTTTACTTACATTTATGGGTTTGAAATGATTGCATCAAGGTAATTTCACACTCTAACTGGTCTAACTCAAAATGACAGTAATAAGTTGACTAACTAGTAATTCCATTCAGACATATTTAAAGACGGACAATAAAATCATAGTAGTCATTGAGCTTTAGTAAATGGGTTACATTTCAATAAATTAATTATTAAATAAAAAATTAAATTAAATAAATTAAACTATGTAGCGAACACAGATAGTAAAAAATAATTCTTTAACGAGTTTTTCAATAGAAATGAACTAAAGTTACAATGACAGGTTAGTGTTTCAATTCAAATTCATTTTAAATCAAATTTGAATTGAAACACTGACCTGTTTCTTTTTAACTTACTTTAGTATTAAATTGTATAGATGAATAGAAAAGTAATTCTTAATTGGCAATACAAGCTTGACCTCTCAGTTACATTATTCTCGATTAACATAAACAAGATTAAAACCAGTAATTCCAATAATCTAGGTACAGTACATATGCTACTAATATTTATGCTCTGCTCCAACTGCCACTTCCAGACACCCACTCAAATCTGTACATTAAATATGGCAAATACTGGGTTTAAGTTTTGTACACACGTTGAAACCTTATAGATGGGTTTTCATTCAACGTGTAAAGATTAGATTTGCTGTAAAATATCAATTAAATTTCTATGTACAGAGGAAATGCTTTTAACATAGGAGTATAAAAAAAATTAGCAAATTAGCAAAAAAGTAATATTGCAGTAGAAATTCAAACACTGCAAAGCTGGAATAAAGTATGTCATAAAAAACAAACTTCTGTACCTTACAAATGAAATTCCAGCACAGTTTAATGCAAATAAAAACAAATGCTTTTGATCTACATAGATCATCTTCAGGTTAATATGTTCCAAAATGGAATGCAAAGAAAGGAACATTTTAAAATTATTTGAAAACTCTTAAATATATAAAAATTGCACAAATGTATATAATATGGTACAAAATAACAAATTCTGTAATATATAATAAAATATAACTATAAATGAGAATTTTATAAAAATTATTTAAATTTTTTTTATATTGACTATCCTTGTTGGTACAAATTGCTAGATCAAGCCAAAAACTCCTAAAAACAGTATGTTGTCATTTTGTGCTAGAAAAAAAAAATGGAAAATATGCTACTAAGTGCAACAGTTGTTTGAAATTTGTTTGTAAAGTGCATAGTACCGCAAAAATACTGTGATAACTGTCAAGACTAAACTACGTAATTCGTTAAAATGTTCCTGAGTCTTAAAAGTAAAAGTGATTATATTACCTGTGGTTTTCTAACAAATGATAGTTAGAGGCTATAAGAGTTAGCATTTATGCACTTTCAAACTGTCATGTTGTTCAAAATTGCTCTCTAGAGGCAAATTTTGCTTGAGGGCTGTGCAGCCCCCATGATACCAGTTATGATTGTAAAATTTATAAAACCAGTTAAGGGTTAAAAATTATTTTATAAATTCTTGTTTATACTTATATTTTATTATGTATTACATAATTTGTTATTTTGTACCACATTATGTACACTTGTGCAATTTTTATGTATTTAAGAGTTTTCAATTAATTTTGAAATATTCCTTTCCTTGCATTCCATTTTAGAACACATTAGATCTATGTAGGAGATCTTCAGGTTAAAGCGTTTGTTTTATTTGCATTAAACTATGCTGTAATTTCATTTGTAAGGTTCAGAGGTTTGCATTTTTTATTGCAATAGAAGTCTTAATCTAGTACCTTGGTGCCAGATTTTCAGAAATGATGGATTACTAATTTTTTATTTTCACAAAATTTAATGTTATATACAATTTAAATATTGCAGACTTTGCTGATTACTTGTACCAGTGCTAGCCACACATTTCAGATTTATGCATGATCTTTAATCATTGAAAACAACACAGTGTATGACTATACTGTGTTAAGATTGACCAAAAATCCTGCAAATATGTCAATAAACACATCACTTCACAAAATCAACATTCATGTGCATATAGCATTTTCCAAACATACTGTATTTTTGCCCAAGTTTCAGTATATCTTGTGGCTAAAATTCCAATTATTGGACAATTCCAGAACATCAACTACTTTCCAGAGGATGAAAAGTTACTGAACATTGAATGCCAGATAAATTTTTGTTTAATAAGACAGTACAAGCTCATTAAACAAAAGTCAATGCTATAGAGCTTCCAACTATATTGCTAATCTTTATTGAGAAATTTCTCAGTTCCTAAAGTTTATTAAATCAATGTTAAAGTTGTTAATCTGCTACTTTCCACACTATTAAAAACATTTTTCTCTACTTATTATTTGCAGTTATTGTCTATTTTTACTAATTTTTATAGGCTTTACTTTGTAATTATACTTTTATTAATAACATTAAGAATATTTTCTTTATAGCTACCTCAAAATTATTAGGATCCGTCATCTTTCTTGGAGAATCTTGAAGACCCCTGTAATAACGACGAACGAACGGGCGTCTTGGTCGTCTAGGTGGTGGACGATCATCCCTTTCATTATCTTCTTCTCCCGGTGCAATTTCGTCATCGTCATCATCATCCTAATAAACAAAAATTTATAAAAATTTCAAAAAGCATATGTTGGGTCAAATAATCTGATTAAGTTTACTTTATTCTAATTCAAAAAGATAATCATTTTACTTTGTCATGCTTAATAAATTAAGTTTAAAAAACATATGATAATTAGCTAAAGCATTTTATAATAAGTTTGTTTTGGGAAACCATTTTCAAAGAATTTATTTGAAAAGTTCAAGATAAAATTTTAATCTATTAAGTTTCTTTCAAAATCGGAAGATAAACAGAAATACTTTGAAACATTAAAATACGAATTTTCCTGTAACCCAATAAAACAAATTAGAAAATAGTTGTTTTTAATTTCATGTATTTAAACTTATTTTATAATAAGTAATCATTATGTTCTAAACATAAAACAGTCTTTATAATATAGATTTTTCAAAAATAAATGGTGGGATTTTATAAGATTACAGTAAAATAAACATTACAATTAACACTACAATAACACATTTCAGGGTGCAAAGTCTGATTTGTAATTCTATGTTTGTATGTTATCCATTATCTGAATGACATCCACACAGTAAATGTTGGACCCCAGCCTAAATTCTAAGGTAAAAAACAAGTCAATCATGCCTAACAACCTTTCATTGTAGTGTTACAATGACTATTGTACAAAGAAAAAGCTGCATGTTTTGTGGCTGGTGAAACACAAACTTGTGATTTTGCTGCAATAGCATTTCAGAGTATTTAGGAATAGCAGAAGCAGTTATCACAGGATCCCTGCTAATTATTCAAATAGTACAAGAAACACATGAAGACAGTAAAAATAAGCTATACGTCAACTATAAATTTATATTAAATTTATCAAGAGATAGAACCTAACGCCCAACTCTAATGCCAAACTGTCTTTTAATTATTATAATTTGTATTATAGCCGTTTCTAGCCTGATAATATTCAGCTGTTGGTGTATAGCTTTAAACGTATCGGGTTTAGTACAGTAGAGCCTCAAAAACTTGGCCTAATGTGGACCGAAGGGTGGCTGAGTTTGTGAAAATACCGGGTTATCGGGAATGGGGTTAAAAAAAGAATAAGTATGAGTGTTTCCTCAGAAAATACTGTACTGTACTTGTATGTATTGTTTACTTGAGAATACAACAGAGAATAAAAGTATGTCTTTTATGAAGGCATAGAGCCTTTACTACGTGAAAATGAAAATTAATGAATACACTGTACAGTAATTTACCTGATAAGACAGACCCTGAAAAAATACTTTATGAGGCATAAAGCTGTCTTTATCATGAAAATTAATTAACTAAGGGTTTTTTTGCCCTGCCAGGGTGTGGCCGAGTTATCCGGAGTGCCGGGTTATTGAGTGCCGAGTTTGAGGCTCTACTGTAATGATGTTTGATTATTAGTAAAAATAAGTTAGGCCAACTGACATGAAATGGAATCATGCAAAGAACAACAGCTTACACTATAACTGATAACTATGCTCAATTTTATATGATAAAGACTAAAGCATAATGCCCTATAAAATTCAGCTGCTACACAATCTGCAATCAAATGTCAAACCAAAAAGAATTGGACTTATTCGCAAGTTCCAAAGATTTAATAGTGAAATTTGGGTTTCTCGACTGAATTCTCTTCTTGAAGAATTGCCATATTTAGAATGAGGAAGGTTTTGATGCATATGTAACTACACATTCCATAAAAACATTCAGGACTAAAAAATGTGAAGTATAAAGGTAAACAATAATTTTTCTTTATGAAAATTAGAATCAATAGTGCTGTGCATTTGGACTCAGCAGTTCTGTATTTCTGTTGTTATTCTATAATTCTATTAGAGTTGAGTATTTCATCCAGCAATTCCAACATCCAAATGTTAACGATGACAAAACAATTTTATTAACTACATTTGGTTTTTAAAAGGGTATCTGGATCAACATGGCATTTCGATCTCTTCAATGCTATGACTACAAACAAATATTCTATGTATTACTACAGAATTACAATTATTAAATTATATAAATACTTACAATTAAAAATACATTCTTATAGCAACTACCAATGTATAACTGTGATAAAATATAAAAATTATCTGTAGTGATACAGTAGCGCTTATCCAATAAATTATCTGCTAATGATAAAATAATTTGCTATAGGTAGGCATATTTTTATATTTGTCATTCAGCAGAGTTCCTTTGCCTGTATAAATTGCAGTTGAGTACATGTATCCAGATGATGATTCGCATAGCATGTAAAATTTTACACCAAAACAAGATCTTTTAAGTGGGATGTACTGCTTCCAGGAAAGATGGCCTTTGAATAGCATTAAACTTTCATCCACTACTATATTTTTTCTGGTATATATAATTTTGGAAAATTTTTATTTAAATTTTAAAAAATTGACCAAATCTTATTTAATTCTGGGTTGTGATGGATCTATGAATCATATTCATCATTATTACAGAAATGTAAGTTTTTTAAATAGCAAAAATAGCCTCTGAGACATCATTTTCTGGAAAATAAGAAAGGAAAATATCTCATCCATAGATCAGTACATCCTTTCATCTAGAGTGTAGGCATAGAAAGGAGCTGCTTCATAAAGTAATTACCAGTATTCCAAGAAACTATGACATATCTGCTGCTACCTGCACAAGTTTTACCAAAATCATGATCAACTAAGTAAAAAATATAACTTTTACAGTCCTCACTTAAGGACTTATACAAACATCAATAAAAGAAAATCTACTACATAATCGGTCATGAAAATTACTCAGCTTGTAAAAGACAACCAATGGAACACAAGCATCAAGTCAGAATCAATCTTGTACAATTTAAAAAGTAAAGTTTATACTGAATCGAGTGACACTCAATTGAGCATTGCATCCAAGACTGGTCAGTAGTGTATACTCGATCGTAAGCATTAGGGAGTCAATTACAACTTAAATTTTCACTTCTTAATTCTGTGGCCTCTAATAAAACTTATTGAATTATGAATGCCATAGGACCTGTGAAGAACAAAATCATTTCTTACTTATTAATTCAATACTGCTGAGAAATACTAACGGTTAAAGGCACATTCTAAGAAGTCGGATTTCATACTGATCATATATTCAACTTCTTACACTAGTTTTTTGCTGGAATATTTAAGTTACTGGAAAAGCAAATATTTACATATTCAAAAAATTGATCAAGTAAATTAAATTATATTAATAAAAAAATAATCTATTACACATGTATTTTATAAATGTATTTGTGTATATAAATTCTTTTATAAAATGAGGATTTTTTCCTTCATATATACATTTTTAGTTTTAGTTTCTTTAAATAATATATGCAAAATAGATAAGGCAAATTAACTGGTAAAAATTTCAAGTCAAAACCCTAAAATTAAAGACACAGTTAATTTTGAAATATTGAAAATTCTTTTCACTTTCATATTTATGTTCAGATCTTATTCACTATAGTGAATAAGGTTTCAACATAATGCAATCAAATTGGCAGCATTAATAGTCAAATTATATTAATATCTAAATGTCTCTCTTGTAAAGCTTAGTCTAGAATACATTAAATTGACATTTATTTCAACCCATTATGAATTTAGCCAAAATATATATAAAATCTGAATATAGATCATGTATATATGTGTATATCTCTACCTGTTTCAACTGTCGAGATTGTGGCCTACGTCGTCTAGGATAATAGCGACCTCTAAAATTGCGTCGTCTTTCTGCTGCATATGGGCTTCCTTTAACATGAGCTCCATTAGGTCCAGTTACATTTGCAGCTTCATTTCCTTTCTCTCCAATAACGACATCAAATTCTACGATTTCTCCGTCACCCACGCTTCTCACGACTTTCCGAGGATTATTTTTTGTTATGGCTGTCTATTATTATTATTTCACACATTAGCTTATCATTTTTATTTTTAATAAAAAGAAAGTAATAATACTTACCTGATGTACAAATATGTCTTCTTTTGTGTCATTCCTATAGAAAAGAATATATTCAATTTAGCAGAAAAAAATTTAATGTTGACACACTACAGTTTCATATTTAAATTTTATATCAAAAACAATTATATATATAAAATTTTCCTGTTTCTTTTTACAAAAGATTTTAAAGTAGTTAATATCTTTTAAGAAACTGCTAATATTAGTCTTGCAAAAAAGGCATTGAGGATGCTTGTTTTGCAAGACTAATAACTGATAAATAAGACATACTGTTTGATTACACGTGTGCGCCTGACAGCACAAGATGCACTTGATTCACACCATATGTATCGTACATGCACACATTTTGTTCTACTCAGAAAAAATGTTCTCTTTCACGTTAAACAGTTTTGTCCAATTGTTTTTTTTGCAATATTAATAACCTAGTTGCTTGAAATATCACAGAACGCTGCAAAGTTTGCAACTGATTGTTTAATTAGGAATGTTTTCTATATGAGAAATGAAGAGATAGAAAAAATAATGGGTCAAACATAAAAAATTTGTCAATTTACATGCCAAATTTTTAAATTTATAATTTAATAACTTAAAAATAATTCCTAATAATATTAAATAAAAGGTATTAATTATGATAACTGAATAATATTGTTAGATAATAAAAAAAACTGTTGCAAATTTTCTTATGTTTTTACTGCAATAATGTGATACGATATGATAGTAAGAGTCACATTATCAAAAATAAACACATCAATCCATTGGAAATGTATTGGACTGATCTGGGTATGAACAAAGAGCAATAAATGTAAAATATAGTATTTTATTAAAAATATATTTATTTTGATTGTATATTGTGTTGAATTGCACTCATTATATGTAACACTTGTAAGTGCTGCACCCATGCAATTTCATGAAAATTTAGTATACAAAGTTTAGTTGTATGGCATCTGAGACACCAGTACATTTTTATTCCAAAACTAGGCATGCAGTGCAAAGCTGCCTATTACATTTTATGTTACTTGGAAAGTTAATAAGGTATTTTTCAGATTTTACCCAAATTTCATTTAAAAAATCAACTATTTCAAAAGTTGCACAGCATCCTACAGATGCCATGCAATGACTAATAAAGGTTTTAAAATCTGAAATCCAGCAAACACACTTTTTGACATCATAGCAGCAGAAAAATATGTAATATATTAAAAGTAATGAAAACTACCTGTTAATAAATCCATAGCCATTTTTCACATTAAACCACTTCACTGTTCCAAGCACTCTTGAAGCTATTGAAAGAAAATAAAATAAAATTAGATGAAATTATGATATTAAACTTTTAAAATAATAACAGTCATCATCCAATTTATATTTTTAATATATGCAGACATTTTAACATAAAAATAGCATTTATATAAATTTTTTTTATATGGAAATATGTAATATTCATTAATTCTGATCCAAAAAAAAGCTTTCAAGAAACTTTGAGATGAACAGTTCGGATAGTGAACAAATTGGATAACAAACACTTTCGTGAAAGATTTTTATGATCGGACAACGAACACTTTACTGAACAAACATAAAAAGAAGTGACGGAAAATAACGAATACCAATTCATTTTCCCTTGTCTTTGGGTAACAATTCAAAACCTTTCAGAGCGCGGGAGACATCAACATCGACACTCAACCGATACCAATCGGACAGTATAATATCCTTCTGAATTTTGAAACTATCACTTGTAATTCCAGCTTTTTGTTTACCTTTCTGACAAATAATTTTTTTATAGTATACTGTCGGACAGGCACTCGTTAAGTTTTGAGTCTGGGTTTATTTACGAAAGGTGAAAGCAGGGATGCACAACCTTTTCTGAAGAAGGGCCAAATTAGGATTAAGTTTACTGACTGGGGGCCGGACCTCCAAGTGATTAATGCGATGGCTGAGATTGGATGCTGGCGGCAATCTTCTTGATGTCTAGCGTAATGGCAGATGTTGAAACAACCAGCAGATTTTCCAAATTCTCGTTGGTTAACCTGTTCCGTGTTTTGCACTTGTTTAAATTCATAAGCGAAAACGCTTGTTCGCATACATACCATGTTTCCCCGAAAATAAGACCTAGCAGAGGTTTTGCTGAATTGCTAAATATAAGGCCTCCCCCCGAAAGTAAGACCTAGTAAAGTTTTTTTTTTACTCGTAACGGTCATCGACAGCAGGTTGAAAGTGGCCGTTGGCTTTTTGAAAGTACAGCCACTGATTGGTCAGCAGACAACACGCCACACGGCATGATTTGCATAAGACTATGGCTTGGAATCACAGATTTGCATAATGTTATGGCTGGTGATCACTAATTGGTCGGCCGGGAATCACGCCACATCACATTTGCATAGTGTTATGGTTCAGTAAGCAGTAATTGGTCATCGAGCCCGATGTAGACGCTATAAAAAGGTTAAGTTGAAGCAAGAGTGGGAAGTCCACTCCAACGGAACTTTGTAAGTTCACTTCGGTTTTATTTAAGTTCAGTTCAACATGACCGGATATACGTCACTCTCGTCTAAGTTCGACTTGGGAATTTTTTTGTTCAATAGTAAATGTGAATTCTTCATGGAAAAATAAGACATCCCCTGAAAATAAGACCTAGTGCATCTTTCAGAGCAAAAATTAATATAAGATAGTGTTTTATTTTCGGGGAAACACGGAAGGTACTGCCAAACATGCTTGCACAAAATCGAGCATTGTCTTTCAGTTTTGGAAATGATGTATCTGGCAGTTCTTTGTAGAATGTGAGGAGATTAGAATTTTTAAACTGTGATTTCAATTCATCACTGCACTGGATGTTTATCAACTCAAGTTGGACATCTGGAGGGGTATCTTCCACTTTCACATCAAATGGAGTTGAAAAAAGTTGCAGGTAGATCTTGTATTTCTGGAATTCACCAAACCTCTCATTGAATGATGTAAGGAGGGTGTTAACTTGGTCAGAGTAATCCATCTTCATATGTGGGTATTTCTCTTTCATGGCCTTGCAATGTGGAAAGTGTGTAAAGTTCTCTGATTGCATGTGAGACTTGAAAAGTGATAGTTTGGTCATAAATGCATTGATGTTACTTGTCAACTGAGAAACAAGTTGCATCTTTCCCTGCAATCTCAAATTAAGGTCGTTTAGATAAGCAGTAATGTCAGCAAGGAAAGCTAAATCACACTGCCATCTTTGTCCCTCCAAATTCCTTGTAGTGTTCCCCCGTTCTTTGAGGAAAGTGATAATAGGCCCCAATAGCTCCACAAATCTCTTGAGGACTGTTGCCTTGCTCAGCCAACGAACTTCAGTATACGTGGGCAGGTCAGCATAATCAGCATCTATTTCTTCAAGAAATGATGTGAAGAGTCGATGGTTGAGTCCATGACGGCGGATTAAGTTCACAGTATCATAGACATCTTTCAGCAGACGTTCAAATCCCAGCTTCTTTGCACAAAGTTGCTGTTGGTGAATTATGCAATGATACTGGACTAACTCCTTTTGCCTGTCCCCAAGGTGGTTTTTCAGCAAGGTGACCATGCCATTCTCACATCCAACCATAGATGGTGCTCCATCAGTGGCAATGCTGGATAGCTTGTCAAAGTCCAGTGCTGATTTGTTGCAAACGCTCAATAAACTAGTAAATAAGTCAGCACCAGTTGTATGTCCAGAAAGTGATGCCATGCCAAGAAATTCTTCATTCACAATAAAATCTAGTGAAACACTTCTAATAAACACAATCACTTGTGCTGTTGATGATATGTCAGTGGATTCTTCCACAGCCAAAGAAAAATAAGCACAGTTTGCAACTAAAATATTAAGTTGGCCAGAAATGTCTGATGCAATTTGCGAGATTCTTTGTTGTATCGTCATGTGGTTAAGACTGATTGTTTGAAAACACTGTCTTCTCAGGACACATCTCACTTGCGATGATAAGACACTTTTTTATCATATCGCCATCTGTGAAAGGTTTCCCATTCTTGGCTATTAAAGCAGATATTTCTAGGCTGGCTTCAACAGCCGCATCCAATTCTCCAGATTGTTTCTTGAACACATTTTATTGGCTGATTAGTGATCGTCGTAATGATTGGATTTTCCGTTTGCGTTCCGTACCTTGCAGAAGGAAATCATTGTGTTGGCTTTCATGATGTCGCTTCAGGTTGAATTCTTTTGGCACTGCTATTGTTCCATTGCACAAGAGGCAAATAATGCTGCTGTTCTGTTGCACAAAACAGTGCTTGTTAGTCCACACTTTTTGAAATTGACGATTCTCACGATCGACCTTGCGTTTAATGCCGGGCGCCATACTGTTCACTCTGCAAAACAATGTCTCGTTGTGCCGAAAATTCTGAGGCCCGCAATGAATCGTGTTTGAGATAAGGCAAGCTAGACTACCACGTGCTTTGTTCTGTATCCACTCTGACCAAAGACTAAAGAGGCGGGGACAGAAGACTATTACGCACACGTGGCCAGGCAGGTCTTAATTCGTTCGACCCCTGTCCGGGCGTCTCCACCATTTCTCAGAATTTGTGAGTCAGATCGTCAACATGCCAGGTGCAGGACACTAATCCATCATAAATGTGGTTACCATTCTTACCTAAATTATATTTATGGCCCGTCAGTTTTACCCCCGTGTTCAGAAATGAATCAAAAGTGATTAACACAGTGCAGTGGAAAATCTGAATATTTTAAATATAATTATTAAAATTGCGATATCTCGTTTCAAATTGGCACTAGAATCAATCTGTTTTTTTTTTTCTGTCCTAAATATATCACAGTTTACGACTGTTAAATTTCAAATAAAATAAAAATTAAAAATAATAATTTAATTTTAAATTTACGAAAAAAAGAATGTAAAAATAAAAGTAAATAAAAAGTTCCAATTAATTTACTACTTAAATAACCTAAATATATCTGTTTTCTTTCAAACAAAAAAAACCGCAGCTTTCTAGCTACACGGAATCATTTTACAACCCTCTTTGTTGACAAGTTTATGGCTTGACGCGGTTTGTAATAATTATTAAATCCAAAATATTTTAATGCAAATGGCTTCCTTTTAGTCGTAATGACTCTATTCCAACTACAGTATTAATTTTCTTGGTCCAACTTAATAATAATAAATTTGATGTGAAAATTTTTTTTTCTATTCTTTGTCTATGGAGAGATATTGTTGTAAATTATTGGTTTTATAGCTTTTTGTACATTCCTTTTTGAACTCTGGTTAGTTTTTTTCTAGTTTGAATGACATTAGGTTGACGAATAAGCGTCTTTTCAGAAAAGATTGATTCAAATTCGACTATACCAATCAGAATCTAGAATGTAAACAAATGCTAAAAAATCGTTATTTTCATGGTTTTTCAGCGCTATTTTCACTTATTTTTGTTATTTGACGCTATTTAGACGAATAGGCAAGTTTTCCGAAGCATAAAATTGAAGATTTCCCGCCAAAATAGAAACTTCCCGATAACATCGGAAATGACGTTCTAACATCATTTTAAAATATTCGATATCTAAAGCAGAAAGTGTTAGCTAAAAATAGACTTATTTATAGAACAATCCCCCATTTCTCACCTCAGGGAAAGTCATAAAACAGTTGGGTGCTAATGACTTTATGAAAGGGAAAAAGTTCTACACTTAGAAACTTCGAAAGAAGGGATTTAACCTGTACCATCCGCGGGCCGCATAAACATTGATAGGGGGCCGTATGTGGCCCGCGGGCCGCAGGTTGTGCACCCCTGGTGAAAGTTTAACTATCCCATCGGATATTTGTTAACATTTTAATATCAAAATTTCATCTGGGCCTTGCATTTAAATAATTTTTTGTGGGCTAGTTGATTTCTGTTCTCTGAATTTTTGTACGTGCTTTTCTGAACTTTTTATTTAAAAAAGAAACTGATAATATTATGGAGCCTAAAAAGGAGTGTCAAGAACTGTGTTAATCATAGAAACCAAGAAAGAGATAATAGCCAAGGTAGAAAGTGGGCACAATCTTAGATATGAAAAATATATCAAGAAGTCTCAAGCTGCTAATGGAGTAATGAAAATCACATCTGAGAAATAAAGAGCATTTTAGAGCTCATAATGAAACCTGAAACTGATCTGACGACAGAAGAACTCCAGGGATGTCAGAACAATGATCATCCAAGTGGTTAATGGGGTTGGGAATCTCTACAATTACAATACAGTACTGTTAATTACTTCCAAAAAATCCTGAAGAAAAGAGAAAAGCAATCGACATTGGAAATATTCTTTAACCCCCACAAACAGAAAAAACATGAC